TCCCTCCCTTCTATTCTTGTCTAGAACTATGACACTAAAAACACTCCATGTACTAGGCAAGACTGGACCTCTGAGATAAGTCACCTATCTCTTCTGTACTTTCCATTATTTGTTTTTCTTTAAAGATTTATTTTATTATTTATTTGTCCATATGTATGCATGTCTGTGTGTGGTATCCATACATGTGCAATGGATACCTATAGAGGCCAGAAAAGGATATCAGATCCTTTGGAACTGGAGTCATAGGTGACTGTGAGCTGCCCAATAAAGTAGCTGGGATCCAAACTCAGGTCCTCTGCAAGAACAGCAAGTGCATTAATCTCCAAGTCATCTCTTCAGCCCCTTTGATTTTTAGTTTGATAAGCAGTCTCACTAAGTCACTCAGTGGCCTTGAGCTCACACAATAACCCAGATAAGGCTTCAACTTACAATCTTCCTGCCCTAGCCTTCGAGGGGCCAGGACCGCAAGCTTGTACTGCTAGACCTGACAGATTTCTCAATGATTATCATGTGCTAGGATTCCACGTTGCTTGGAAGGAAGCTTCTGATGCCCCACAATACCTGGAAATACTGCAAACTCTTCCTATGTCCCCCAAACATCACAAAGGCAATAAGCTTATTTATAACCATAAATACCTCACTGTGTATACAAGTGTAGAATGTCACAGTGTAAGAGACGTTGAATTGCCTATGAATGCAATTACATTAAAAAAAAAAAACTTGGGGGTTGGGAATTGCGTTTGGCTTCGTTAGGAGCCTCAGCAAGAGCTGTTGGGCCCTTTTGGTAAACTGCAGCTAACGGAAGTCAGGCTGAGTATCTCTGGGATCTCCTTGGGATATCTGCCGACTCTCTTCTATTCCCTGCCTTTGACTAGATGACAGCTTTTTTTCATAAATAATTGTAAAAACATTGCTGTGTCTTTTCTTTATAAATTTGCTTCTCTGTCATCTGTGGACATGGGGGATTTGCTTCTCCTCTGTCATTGAAATACTTGTGAAGCTATCTGCCACAGCTCAACACTAGCATCCACCCGATGACTGAGAATCATGAATTTGTATCTGTAAACCTATCAGGGATTCTGAGTACTCGCCCTTGCTCTTGTCATGCGTCAGGAAACACAGAGGTGATTAAAGAAAAACAAGTGAAACCCTAGCCAAACCAGAAATGCTTTCAAAATGTACAGAAATTCACACTCAAGTCCTATAAATATTTTCCAAGTATTGAGTATGTATCTCACGATCCAAGACACATGACTTAAGTGTCTGCTGGTGACATGATCCGCACTATTTTAGAAAGCAGTGAAAATCGTCAATAAAATATGTTTCCGTCTTGCAAGTCCACGAATACTGCAAGTGAAGGTTATATAAAAATTAAAAATTAATAGCAGAGGAGCGAGGAATAGCATGCTCTACAAAATGCTCCTTAAGCCACCCTGCCTGTGACATTGTGTACAGCATCCTGGACGCACTGTGCTCAGAAAAAGCCAACCACAGTATCCACCATCAGGTGATTGGCTTGCATAACTCTTGACTCTTGGGGTACAGTCTCTCTGGCACCTCAGAAGCATCACCCTGATTAAAACTGACATGTTTCAGTACCATTGTTCAGTGAGCTTCCATGAAAGCTTCAAGGTTGCCAAAAGGCCTCTTTGTCAGAGCTTCCTTTGGGACATAAAACATAATATTCCTGTCTGTGTATAATTTCCAAGTTGTTGGTTTTGTTGGTGTTTTAAGCTTGGCTGTAGTTTATAGTCACATCTCATTGAACTTACATTTGTAATGATCTGTCCTGTCTCTTTAAGAGACAAGCCACGCCCACTCTCTCCCCAGCCTGAGACAAGCTGATTTTTCAGCTTTCCATCTCCCTCTCCAAGAGGCAGCTTCTGCCTCTCTCCACTTCTTTCTCTCTCTCTCTCTCTCTCTCTCTCTCTCTCTCTCTCTCTCTCTCTCTTTCTCTCTGCTCTTCTCTCCTTCTCCTCGCTCTTCCCTTCTATAACCCACTAAATAAATATCCATCCTCACTCTGTATGGCATGTCTATCCATGTCTCTGTCTCTTGCCCACCTCCGTTTGTCTTCCTGCCCAGGACTACGTTGGGAGACCTGTGGTGTGGTCTTGTGGCATTCCCATCTTTCTGTCTTTCCTTGTGGTCTTGTACACTGTCCCTACCTGGGACTGGCTGCTTTTGGGACCCCCTGCCCACAGCCTGCTGCCACATGGCCTGCTGCCTGCCACTGCTTAGGGACCTGCAGCATTTCTGCCCCTGCAGCCACAAGGGATCCTGCAGCATTTTTTAATTTTTCCATTTCAGCATTTAGGGGCCAGATTGACCTGTAGCTTCTCTGGTCTGTGGACTATAGACTTTTCAAATACCCTCTATAGTTAGCCTGTGTGTAGGCTGGGCCTTTTAAAGATATTAGTGAAACTTATTAGAGATTCAGAATTGTCACTTGACGTTAGTTACCTCATGACCCAATGTCCTGATTATGTGACCCAGTGGTAGCTAAATTGATGGGGTAACGGTGTGAGTTTCTTCTCCTTCACAGAAGGTTAATCCAGGAAGTAAGCACTCAGGGTAGGGAAAGTGAGGAGGAAAGGTGACATGAGTGTGTGTGTGTTATTAAGAGCTGTTGCTGTAGATGGCATGAGCTCAAGTCCAATGGTACTTAAAATAAAAATGTGCGGTGTTTTTCATTTACCTCCCTCAGGACACATAGGAGCAGGCACAGTGGAGACCTGAAAATGCAAAATCTCATTCTCTGCCCTGGAAAATATACAACTCCTAACTTGAAGGTCCCAAGCACATGATGGTAAGAGCATGAGCTAGATAGAGTTGGCCATGGTGCAGACTCCCAAGTTTTCATTTTATCATTAAAATAAACCCAATGGCAGTTTTCTGGGTAGGATCTTGAAATAAATCAGGAATTTATGTCATATAAAAGTCTAAAATGCAGAACAGATAGAGGCAGGACCCTGTATGATGGAGAGCTTTTAAGAAGAAGGCCGAGTAGCAACACTGTGGGTGGGGCAATGAGACTGCTCTGGGGAGGTGTGGTGATTTGAATTTGAATGGCCCCCATAGGTTCATGTATTTGAATGCTTAGTCATCAGGAACTTACACTACTTAGAAGGATTTGGAGGTGTGACCCTGTTGGAGAAAGTGTGTCATTATGGGTGGGCTTTGTGGTTTCCAGGGCCCAAGCCAGGTCCAGTGGCTCTCTCTTCCTGCTTCCTGTGGGTCTGGATGTAGAACTCTCAGCTACTGCTCCAGCCAATGACTGCCAGCACATACCATGTGTTCCTGCCATAGCAATAATGGACTTAGATATTAAATATTGCAAGCAAGCTCCAATTAAATGTTTTCCTTTATAGGAGTTGTTGTATGGTCATGGTGTTTCTTCACAGTATAGAGCACTGACTAAGACAGAGGGATGGGGGATTTTATCATTATTTCTATAGGGTACTAAGTCCTTTGGAAAATTGTCTCTTTCAGGATTGCTTAAATCTAGGACAAAATTATGATAAGACAGGAATTTGGAGACAGGTATCCTGGGATGCCAAGGCTGACTCAGAGAGGAAGCTGTGGGCAAAAGTAGACTAAGGATATTTAACAGGAAGGACACATTTTGCTGGCAGTCTAGAAGGACTTGCCATTGGGTTCTCTATAGTGCCTAATTCATGAGTGGAGATTGATGATGTACAATAAAAAAAAAATCCAGAGAATACTGGAGAAATACTTTCTGGGTGCTGGCTCTACCCTGGTTCACTATGGAAGGGAAGGGTTCTGGAGATCATCAAGAAGAATGACATGAAAAGAAGAGAAAAGGAAAACCTTACACTGGGCAAAGGCTGGTCCCTAGAAAGGCCAAACAGTGGACAAGTAATCTAGCAAGGAGCAGGTGTAGCAGAATGGACCTAGAAGGAAATATCACGACAATGCCTACCCTGGCATCAAGTCTTCCTAAGCTCATGGAAAAAACCAGCCGAGGTTTTTTCTCTTTTTTTTTTTTTTTTTTTTTTGTTGTTGTTGTTTGTTTGTTGTTTATTTATTTTTTTTTGTGGAAATGGGTATGCAGATGTGGTTTGAAGCTGGTTTGTTTCCCAAAACTCCTGCAGGGGCTTAATACTTCCAAACTATATGTTAATGGTAGTAAGAGGATAGAAGATTAATTTCAGTGTGGTGGCTAACACCAGAACTTTTGGAAAATTATTAGATTAGGCAAAGTCATCAGATTGAAGCCTCCACAATCCTTGTGCTCACTTTTATAAGAAGAGGGAGAGAACCCACAGAGAAAAGAAAAGGAAAGAAAGAAGGAAGAAGAAAGGAAGAAAGGAAGAAGGAAGGAAGGAAGGAAGGAAGGAAGGAAGGAAGGAAGGAAGGAAGGAAGGAAGGAAGGAAGAGGAAGTCAACTCCTGGAATGATGGATGCTGAGAAAGCTATAGCCTGTAGTGGTTAATCTTGATTGCCAACGTGACTAGATTTGGAATAACCTAGGAGACACTCTGAAGGAAGGGCATTTCCAAGCAGGTGTAACTGAGGTAGGAAGATTCACCCCAGACATGGGCAGCACCATCCTATAGGTGAGCGAGGGTCCAGGACCAAATAAAAAGAGAGAAAGTATGAATGCCAGCATTCATCTCTCTCTGATCCCTGACTGCAGATGCAAAGGGACCAGCTTCCTCATGTTCTGGTTATCATGGCCTTCCTGCCCATGGTGACCTGTATTCCCAGAAACAATATAAACATTGGGCTAGTTCTGGGAAAAGGAAACCCTAGAACTCACTGGCTAGCCAGTCTATCCAACTGGTGAGCTTCAGGATCAAGGAAAGACCTTGTCTCAAAAAATAAGGTAGAGAGTAATGGAAGAAGGCGCCTAATGTCACCTCCTGACATGTATGTACACAGGAACACAAACCCAAAAGAGATGTTTAACATGTAAATTAGCCCTACATTTAATTGAACTGGTTTCTTACTTTTCACACAGAAAACATGCGTCTGGCCTCCTAAGACTTAGGAAGTTTATTTTTTTCCTCAAAGTTTTATGAATGATTGAAGAGGGGGCTGTCCTTAGAAAGAAGTCCACTGAAGATCTGGCATCTTGGTCGCTATGGGAACAAATAAAGCCAGCTTTTGTGTTGGTGATTTTGGGGAGTATAAGCCATTTGCTGGTTGGTTATAGTGTGGAGGTGTGGTTGGTGGGTTTTTTCTGGTTGGTCCTGATGCCTTATCTTCATCAGGTCTCCCGTCTCTCCTGATGCCACCATGGTAATTCCTTATGGTGCTGTTCTTGAAGATGAGGCTCTTCTGGAGAGAAACCAAACATGACTTTGTTTGTGTGGGGAGGACTTCTCGGGCTCTCTTGGAGGCTACCAGGTCAGTTTAAAGATGTCACTTTGAGGACCAAGGCAGAAACGGAGGGTCTTCCCATGAATTAAGTCTTTGCAGCAAAGCTTTTCTAGTATGTGCTCAGCTGAGCTGCTGAGGCAGGGTGTTTGCTGACCTCCAGAAACAGCCACAACCTACAGTGTGAGAAGTTACAGAGCATAGCAGGGTGCAGGATCATATAGTCTAGTCACTTACGCTGGTCCAGCATGCGCTGAACCCCACCCATTCTGGAAAGCTTGACCTTCTGGGTTTTCTTCAGGTAGATTATCCACAAGACCAATAGGAGAACAGCAAGCAGCAGGACACCCACTGCAATGCCTACCACAATGGTGGTGACACTGGGACACTCTAAGGAAAAAGCACAAGCCATGAATTATGTGAGTCTCTACCCACAAGTCCACAGCCTCTGCATGTCACCCACTCTCCCAGAAGGTCCCGCTCCAGAGACTTGCTCTCTGCCACACAATATGGGTAGACAAGAGAACACAGCCTCAGTCAGCATCAGAAAGCAAGGCCAGTCTCTGTGGTCCCAAATGATACTTAAAGGCCACTAGGCCTGGCATTTTATTCACAGAGAAAGTTATGGACATTCCTGAGGGACCCTAAGCCATCTTACTGCACAGTGGGAATGGGGACCCCAGGAGAAGTCCATGATTATGGCTTGAGGACAGGTCCTCACCCAGAGTCTGTGCCCCTCCTACTCTCATGGGTTTCAACTTGAGAATGGCTGGAGAACAGTAGGCTCAGGTTTCTGTCCTATAGAAGTTCCAGTGTGCTGCTGGCCAACATTTCTTGTGGTTGCTCAAGCAATCTCTCTGCCTTTGTTCTTCCAGCTAAGTAAGAATGGAATGAGAAACTAGAATTCTGGAGCTGCATGCCTAAGACCTGTAAGGACATCTTACCTTCTGCCCAAATCTGCCATCTTCTACATCTTTGGCCATTGTCACTCTTTACTTCTCCAAACTGCTCTAACAGCCTGTGTCTCATCCCTCTGTTGGAGAACCCTGGACCTTCAAACTATCACTTAGTCCTCTATCTCTTCTGCCATCTCCATCCAAGGGTAGTATCTGTCCATACTACTTCTGGACTCAACCCAGCTCAACCTGTCTACCTCCAGTCTTATTCCTGACCAGGACAGCAATATTTGGCAGGACCATGCCTATCTCAGTTCAAGACAGGACCATGTCCACTTGGTCCCAGGCAGTATAAACACACCTTGTACTGATGACTGGACAGTGTCCACCTGACAAGGGAGCAACCACTTTATACACCGAAATGATTATTTCCTCATGCCTGACAGGACCATACTACTACTATATCTACCTGGTCCCTGATAGGTGTGTGTTAACCCAACTGTTGCTAGAATTGTATCAATTTGGTTCCTGACTATGTGCACCTTGATTTCTGATAGTGCTGGGTCTGTTTGGTCACCGAGAAGACCATGTTCACTGTGTCCTCTTACAGTACTGTTTCCAATAGGACACTTAACAGTTCTGTGTGGTCACCAGGAGGACATTGTCCTCCTGGTTGACAGACGAGATTTAAAAAAGAAAAAAGACAATGTGAGTATTGCCATTTTTCTTCTGGGAACTTCTAATAGCTTTTTGACATGCTCAGGAACAAACTTGTACCCGAAGAGGATGTGTGGTACCCGTGCGCTGATGACTGTCATGACCACCGACCTACTGGGTCTCCTTATCTCAATGATCTCATTTTTCCTTCCAGGAGAATGGGCTGCTCACCACATGGTCTTTGTTTCATTTTAACTGTAGTTGCGACAGGACCATGCCATGGACCCCACAAAGACTAGGTCAGAATCTTCCATTCACAGATATTATTGTCCAGGACTTGAGCTGCATGGGGCAAAGAGTGCTTGAGATGCATTCACTCCATTCCTTTGAGACTCATGATAGGTGTCCTGAAACAGCTAACCGGTACCAGTCCTTGGGGTCCTCCCATCAAACGGGAGATGCTCCAACTGTAAGGTGTGGTGCTCCCATGGTGCCATGCTCAACACAGACTGGAGCTACCACCAGAGGTACCTGTCTGCCAACCATCTCTTGGTGCAGGGCCAGGTGAGGGTACTGCTTACCTGCCCAGGTATCCTGGATAGTTCTCCTTCTGCTACTGGGTATCCTTGCCCACTGGAGTGAGACCCTTCCCTTTGCAGCCCTCTTGCTATCTGCAGAGGCTCTTGGGCTAGAGATCTTGTCACCATATCCTACCTCACCAGATCTGGGCACTGTCCAGCCTTACCTCGGCTCTCCTCTACATAGATGGAATAGATGCTTCTCCGGTCTCGCTGGCGCACAGTGTAGGTTGTCCAGCAGCCCTCTGCATCCTGTTCACTGCAGTTCTTGCGATGAAATTCTGAACTCAACAGATTCATACACTCCCAGAAGCAAGGTGCTCCATTGCTGAGATTTAAGCACTTGGCACAGGAGCTGAGGAGAAGTTGGGAATGAGTTTGATGAAATGGGATGGCAAGGGGGTGTCCAAGGGCTCAAGGATGGGCAAGGTGCACACTGTGTGAGGGCACACAGGTGTGTTGGGTGCAGCACTATGCAAAGATGCATGACTGTGTCCGGATTTACAAGTGTAGGAGACTTTATGGGTGTCAGGCTGCATGGGTGCGTCAGGGTGAATGGTGAGTGAGTGCATACTAGTGTGTGAGCATGTCCCAGCCAATAAGGGTGTACTGGTGTGTAAGGCTGTGTGTGTGTCAGGGTCCACGAAGTGTCACTGTGTACGTGTATGTTCGGGAGCTCTGGTGAATGAGAAAGTACTGTGTGCAAGGCTGTGTGAGTTTGTCAAGATGCGTGTTATGTGAGTGCAAGCCGGTGTGTCAGGGTGCACTGGTGGATCAGTTTGTCTAGGTGTGCAAGACTTCACAGGGATGCCAAGGTGTATTACTGTGTGAGCATAGACTGCCGTGTCAGAGTGCCCTGATAATTAGGGTGTACAGATACGCAAGGATGAGCAGGCATCTCAGGGGACGTGGGAGTGTCAAGGTTCACGGAGTGTAATATATGAGGGTATTCCACATACAAGCTGGTCCTGTAGTGAGAATCCCAGGCGCCCTTAGAGGTCAGCACAGTGGTATAAGTGAGGGTAGAGCAGACGGTGATCCTGGGAGGAGACCAAAGGGCAGAGCCAGTGGAAATTGGATCCAAGGGAGGTACCGACCCCCTCAAAATGACACGATCTTGCTGAGAACTACGGTGTAGTGGCACCCCTGGGGACCCCCAGGGAGCCTAGCTGTGAGGGCAGCGTGGGTGGTTGGGGACACTCACATGTACTTGTGGCAGCGCGAGAAGGCAGCAGGAGAAGGAGGAGCAGCAGAGCTCTCCTCACACAGTGGTGGATAGTAGCCGGGGTCACACTCACAGCTGTTGCAGCGGCAGCGGCCATGGCCATTGCACAGTAGCAGGTTTTTGCTCAGACAGCCCTCAGTGGATTTCCAACACTGGCAGGCTGAGCCCTCAAAGTCTCGCCTGCAAAAGCACTGGCCACAGAAGCAGGAGCCCCTCTCTGGAAAACAGCCGAGGTCACACAACTCACCTTCCTGGAGGTGGGTGGGAACTAGGAACCACTCTCCCATCACCCTGGGCCCTTGCCCGATAGTGCCTGCCAGGGAAGACTGTACTTACAGCCTCCTTGCTGCCTGCTTCTACCAGTACCTTCTCACCCAGCCCTACAACACCAGGGAAGGACAGCTGGGCAAGGACACAGGGACCAGGGAGATCCCCCACCCCTCCAGCAACACATCTGCCTTTCAGCCAGACTGGGCCTCCACATCGTGTTTGAATAGCTCTTGAGTCAGGCCCGTTACTTCTGTTGTCCTCCAGGGACAATGGCTGACCCTCACAGACATGGAAGGCCTGGCCAGCCTTACTGCTGCTGTGTAGCTCGGCAAAACTAGCAATCATCTGTCCATCGGGCCCAGCGTCCCTCTCAACACCTTCTGCTGCCAACTGACAAGAGAGTCCATCCCCCAGTTGCAGTGGCCCTTGTCACTCACGTGGACCACCGCAGACTTGGCCATTGTATCTTTCACAGTTCACATTGTCACACTCACAGTACTGCCCAAAGATCACTTTGTTGGGGTCGTCACTGGTATGGCACTCACACCGCCCACAGATGCAGTCTCCCAATCCTGAGCATACAAGGGAGCTGTTGTCTTTCTGGCAGCTTCTCTGCAGTTCCTGGCTGCTCTGGCCCTGCGTCTGGCACTCACAGTTTTTCCCTGTGTAGCCAGAGTTGCACCTGTGGCCGTATAGGAAGGTTAGCGGTCAGGTTCTTCCCCGAGGTAGTCACACCTTCAGCTCTTGGGCCCAGTGCACACCCAAACACCTGTAAAGTATGGCACACCACGGCCACTCCTTTCTCAGTGGTGTTCTGAGTGCGCACCTGAGGTAGACCCAAGGCCGCCCTGGGTAGGGTGGCCAAGCATAAGCTTGTCCTTGGCCCATGAACAGTCCCTCTGACAGGCTACTATGGCATCGCGCAGACAATGGGGCAAATGGTACACTACTTGAGGCTTCTGACAGTCCCTGGATCTTTGGTAGCTGATAAACCAGACCTAAGCTTTGGCTTGGTCTCAGTCCTTGCCTGCTACTAGATCTGTCTTCTGGTGAGAGGGGTTTCCTGTGAGCCAGTTCTCTGCCTGGGACCCTTCGTGGAAGTCAGGATTGCCGAAGAATACCCTGGCTTGGCAAGTGGTAGCAAGGACTTTGGGAATGTGAACCCCAGACTCCCTACCAGCTCCTCACACCTGCAGCCTAGGAGCTATCTGGGGAAGAAAGTGCTGTGGGCTGTCTGCCATCACCTCATCTATAGATACCTTTCCCATGGGTTGGACTACCAAGAGTGTCATATATGTGCTTCACCTGCAGACACCACATTCCATGACACCCTTGCCTCCACAGAGGCCGTGCTTCTGACTCGGGTCCCGGCACCGGCACTCACACTGGGGAAGGACCTGCACAGTCACCGTATCAGTGAAGCTTAGGGCCTGGATGACAAAGGCCTGCTTCTGAATGCACTCTGAAGCCATGACAGTGACCTGGAAGGTGACCTGGAGGAGGGTAATGAGGATTAGACAGGGGCCATGGGTGACCAGGGTCATGGTCCTACTCCTTCCCCTCAGGGGTGCTGGGAGGGATCAGAGTGATGTCTGGGGAGGGGTGGCATGGGTTCTTTCTGAAGCAGAGGCTCTTGGGACAGACTATCGCTCAAGCTGTAGGGAGTCCAGACCCCCACTCCACCCCACCCCAGCCCTTACTAACCAGCATCCAAGCCCTGCTGTGAATCAGACTAGGGAGGCAGCGTTTTTCATTATCCATACAGTAGGAGATTTTTAACAGTGAACGTGTGGGGCACAGTTTTCCCTTGTGACCAGAATGCTAAGATAATAGAATGCCACAGGGAGTGTGGTGTTCTTTATCCAACCCAGAATAGAGGTGAGCGTCCCAGGCTGTGCCAGCACACACAGGTGGGACAAAGATGGCAGGGCTGATGACAGAGGGTGCTGGGTGCTGGTTTGCAAAATCAGGCTACATCTGAAATCAGTCTAAGCCAATGGTACTTAAAGATATAGAAGAAATGTCAGTAAAAATAAGTAACGCACCATCTAAAATTGAGAATAAAATTTGTCAGTTTCTCATATGAATCACCCAGCATGAAGGGATGGTATTCTGTTTGGGGTGTGTGTAGGGTGTGTGTGTGTGTGTGTGTGTGTGTGTGTGTGTGTGTGTGTGTGTGGTGTGATGTTAGCTCATGAGCTAAAAGAAAAATTAAAACCTGGGTAACAAATTTATATTTCTTAGGGAAAGAAGTCAGTTTGTTTTTCTGCTCACCTGTGTGGCTTGAGACTTGATGTTTCCATCAAAAGGTAAAATGAAACAAAAGTCAGAAAAGCTGACCCAATCCATACCTAATTTTTTAATCTCTCATCATGTCTAGCAACTGCCCCCTAGGGGGTGCTGTTATTGCATGACTGGTTAGTGTGTCTGGGCTATTCCAGGAGGGGTGTGGGGTTTCCTGGTCTGCGCATTTGGTGCCTTCCTGCTCCTTAACATTACCGTATAGACAGCACCAGTCTGCCAAGTGATGTTTAAAGGGAGAAGCGTCTGGCCGCTGGCCACCAATTGCTTTCCCATTTGCTTGCTCCAGGTGAGCCTCTGTTTCCTCCTGAACGTCCCTGAGATTGAGTTATTGAAATACCTGGTGGGCCCTCTAGCATGCTGGGTTGGGAACCCCAGGCTCACCTGGTCGTTGATCTGCACACCGTCACACTCTCCTCTGGATTTGCCTGTACTTGATGCCCCGTTACTGCAGAAGGAGTTGTAGGTGACTTTCAGGGTGTTGGGGATGGTGGTGTGGTCCAGGAAGACCCTGGAGGTGAGTCTCTGTGGGCAGAGAACAGCCATGCTCAGGGGTGACAGGTTCAGCTGTCCCTGCCCCCCCAGTACTGTGGCACCGTTACACTTTTCATGCCCCTCCTCCCCTGCACACCAGTTGATGACACAAACACCTATTGGGTAGCTCAGTGAGCATGTCAGGGCAGGCCAGCAGGTCGACGCCATGGTTTGCTCTGAGACAGGCCACTGGAAGGAGACCAGCATAGACACAGCTGTGAGCCCTTTGAGGACAGTCCCCTCACTGCTGAACGCCAGGGCCAGCTGAGGAGGAGCCACAGACTGTTGAAGATGTGAGAGACGGAGCACAGATGGGAGGAGAAAGGGAACAGGTGGCATCTGGCAAGCAGGCAAGTATGGCGTCACTTGAGTCATCCCTAGAAAGGCAGAGCTAGACTGGGTAGCGGCCTGGCACAGAGTCTTTTGGGGGGCATCTGGGGTTCACAAGGCTAGAGAAGAAAACGAAACCTCTCCATGGTTAGTGACGGCAGTGTTGCAGGGGCCCCCACACACTGTGCTGGCGGATCCCAGGATGTTTGGTCACAGAAGGCTAGGTCAGAATTTAAGGATACCCGTCACTTGTAGATTTCTGTATCTGTATGCCCTGAGCAATGCAGGATGTCATGCATGCTGGTGTCTGCCGGAACCCTGGGACCCCGAGGGTGTGGACTTGGATGCAGCTGTATAGACAACACACCAGGGAGGAGGATGAGGAATGTGGGTCTGCAGTGTTTGCCTGGGGCAGGAGTGGGACCGGCATGCAGGAGGTGCTGAGCTGGTTGGTTTCTGTCAGCTTAATACAAACCAGAGTCCTTTTGGAAGAGGCAACCTCGGTTGAGGAATTGGCTTATCAGACTGGCCTGTGGGCACGTCTATGGGCATTTTCTTAATTGTTAATTGATGCAGGAGGGCCTAGTTCACTGTGGGTGCTGTCTCTTTAACACAGTAACAGAAAGGGAACTAGGACAGGCCCTTCTTCCCACGACTGTCTACACAGCATCTGAATTTACTAAGGCCATGTCTGCGGTCTCCCTGGCCCGTGAGACAGCATGTGCTCTTCCATGGTCACCTGCCCTCCAATATCTCCATGGCGGTAGGCAGGGGAGCGCCCCATCTAGGTAGGACTTGGAACTCATGTTTTAGGGAGAGCCAGAGGAGATCTGTGAGTCACACACTCATTCACCAGTAAGAGGAACGACCCTGTCCTCTGTGTCTGTCCAGAAGACTGTAGGGTGCCCGTGGGGGCTGCTGGAGGCTACAGCAGGGTTCTGTAAGTCAGGGCTCTGCCTACTGTGAGGTTCAGACCATCTCACGCAGCTACTCCAGGAGACTCATCCTGTAGGTATCCTTAATGAACTGTGCCACATTGCTGGAGTTACCGGAAAATTCCATGATGGCCAACGTGGAGATGAACGCGGTGAGTCTCTGTTGGGAGAGAAGATCAAGCTGGCACCTGGGACCATCAACTCCTCCATGCTCCTGAGGGCTTGTGACACCCAGGGGGTCCCTCCAGCTCTCCAAGTGGCTAGGATGATGCACAACTGAGTCTCCACTTCACAGAGTCACAGAAGGAGCATTGGTGGCATGCTGCCAAGTGCCGACACCTGGGTCTTAGTACTCTTGTGTCTGTGGTATAGGTGCCCCAGGCAGGCAGTTCCATTTTCAAGCTGTTGATGTCACTGACTGGGGAACACACACCTGTCTTATCACGGGACAATATATCTTCAGCATATCATCACGGTGGACAGAAATCATACCCATGACACATAGGGGCACGGATGGCAATAGAAAGTGGTAAAATTACAGGAAGACGAGAAAGAGGTTAGCCTTACTGAGCATCGCTGGGTTTGAGCAATCTGACAAATTGCTCAAATGGCAAGAGGGGACCATGTTACACAACCCTGTGACAATCAGCCCTGGCAGAACTGGTCTGCTTCCCAGAGTGTCCCTGGAGGTGGCTCGGCTTGAATCCCTGGATAGCTGACAGACCATCATCCTCCCCACAACTGCCTAGTGTCACTCAAGGACTGTGTCACATGTCATGAAAAGGGAATGTTGGCACCCTGTCCAGACAAATCCTACCGACAGTCAGGATAGACACTTCTTTATCCATCATTGTCCCATTACTCTAGAATGGAGTCTGCCTTCTCTGTGAGCACAGTAGGCTTTTTACATCCAGGCCACCAAACCTCTCTGAGCTCATAAACTCACTGTCATTTGTCTTGGCTATGGGACCAGCCCACCAGAAAATTCAGGCTCTACCTTGTCCCATTTATGAAAGTTGCTGTCCCCTCAGTCCAGAAGCATCCACAGGAAGGGTCTTGTGTGTAACATTCTCATGGGCTCCCTGTGGCATTGACCAACCTCCCGAAAACAGAGCCTTATGGAGACCTATGACCTCTCAGGGCAAAGGAAGTGGTGGGCCTCAAGTCTTCCATCTGTGGCTTCCTCCCTTGTCACCATGCTGTCTGTGGAGTATGACTCCTGACCCACTACAAGTCTGTGAGGAGGGGATTGTCATAGCCCAGTCACAGATGGACATAGGAGCTGTGACATCCTGACAATGGAGTGGCCTCCTCTTTGTTCTGCTAGCTGCCAACCTGTGCAGAGCCAAACCACTGTTCCCTGTGGCTGCTGTGATGGTGGTATTCCAGGCTGCCACCTCTCCTGTTGTTGTCTCTGCAGGGTAGCTTCCCTTCTCTGGAGCCTGGGAACCTAACAGCAAAAAGTGTGGTTTGCCTGTTGTCCTGGCAACCAAGGCTTGCCTGAGACCTGTGATGTGACCCAACCCTGCATCCTCATTCAGCAATGCACATCCAGCCACAGTCAACTCCCCAGCCATTGTAGGGCTTCCTCCCCCACGATTCATGTTCATACTCAACCCAGCCATGCACCCAGCTGTTGTGCAAGGCCACACAGCTTCAGAGAGTCCAGGCACAAGGGGAGTCAACCTGAATACTCATGTGTCACACGAGTGTGCCTATGAGGATGGATGATGTCAGGGGACACTGATGTCACTCTCAGATGGGGAGAATTTGGAACTGGGGGCAGCTGCTTTCTGAATTAACTGGATGGATGTGCTCAGAGGTCCTCATAGAGGAGGGGTTCCCAAGTGGTCCCACTGCAGACAGTAGCTCTGAGGTTCTCCTGTAGGGATCCTGCTGACCCAGAAGAACTGGTCATCAGACAAATAGATCACGGCCATCTTCCTTGTCTCAGACTTCTGGTCTCAGGCCCTTACTCTGGCAAGTGGAAGCAGGACTCCACTCTGGTGATCCCGTGAGAATGCTGGGCTTCCTCACCCTGCAACTGAAATGCCTGCCACTCTTGGTGAAGACCCACCTCTCTTACCTCATGTGTTTTCACCATCCTCGAGGGCACCATGACAATGGGCTGGATGTTGTTTTCAGCCAGTTTCCTTGCCAGCTGGAGCACTGAATGGTTGTCCTGGAGAGAAGGGGCATCCCGTCAGACCACCCAGTGGCCTGTATCTCTGAGGACTATGATGTATCACCCTTGTCCTGTGGCAGAACCTTATCTGAACAAGGCGCACAAATATGTGAACAGAATTCAGCAGACATGAATGATGTTGAAAGACAGTTAAGAAAACACCAAAAGTTGCAATGTGCGTGGTCTCTTGGTGCAGACCCGGGATCCCTCTAATCAGGGCAACCTCTCAGCCTTCCTTCTAACCTACATCCAGTCATTCGTGGCTCTGCTAACCCACAGACCCCACTCTAGCAGGGACCCTCGGCTGCCATGCTAGGTTGGGACTCAGGGAGGGGGGTCTTCATTGTCCTCCCTTCCAGACTCTTTAAAGTTGCCGCTAGTCCTGCTGCAGCTTGCCTGCAGGGCCCTCCCTCCTAGCCCACTCCATCCCCTAGGGACTGTTTTTCTCAGTGGCTCCTTTTAGCCCTCCAGCCCATCTCATACTCTTTGTGACTCCCCCGCTGACGTGAAGAATAGGGGAGACTCTCTTCAGTATGTCTTGGTGTCCTGCCGCTGTGCTCTGGCCTGAAGCTGATACCTGAGACCTAATAGGACCAGTCACAGCTTCCGAGTTTTTCTTGAATGTGTTTCTTAGGTTGGAAAGAGGTATTTAAGGCTCTGGAGAGGTGACCCTGACCTGGCTGTTATGAGGGGGCAAGTTTATAAGAGTCCTGTTTTGTCCCCCATTTGGGTTCCTGTCTTGTGTCACTCAGGGCTAAGCCTCAGATGACACCAGGGAAGGAAGGGGCTCACAGGTTCTCTTCTGCTCTTGAACACGCCATCTTCCAAGTGACAGTGACTATCACTGGGATTCAGTCTGGTACCCAGACTCTTATCTTTAGCCAAGTGGAGATCGTTGTCTGTGATGAGCACCAGAAACCGTGTCCCATTGCGCCAACCAATTTCTCCCTGAGAAACGAATGGCCTGGAGTTACCCGCTGTACTTTTTCTGCTGGCCACCTCAGGAGCCAGGTGTGGCAGTCTAGAACCTGCCCCTCCTGCTGTGGAGTTTCACAGCAGCCAGACAAACAGAAAGAGAGTCAAGATTGAGTCTGGGGTGTGTCTGCTAAGATGCCCGAAGTGTGAGGTAAGGGGACATGAAATGTGTATCTACTTCCCAATAGGCAAAACTTCTACAGCCCATCCCTCCAGACCCAAGACTAGGCTCCCAAAAACATTCCCCCAAAAATCTGTGGTGTCCATCATGACAGGCAAATCCCAAGTGTGAATACAGGGACCACAGGGGAACTGCATCTTCCTGGAGAATCCCCAGAAAGGAGTGTGCGCTTGCAGCACGCTGTAGTCTGACAGGGTTCCAGGGAGGCCGGAAAGCTGTGAGAAAAGAGCTGAGCCAGCACAGAGTTAGCTTGCTGCAACAGTGACATAAAGAGACAGCCTGGGACAGGTGTGGGACAGTGTGTGGGTGAGAGAAGAGTCATGAGAGCAAAATCTGGCCAGGGATTGTTGTCTTGCCTTGGAGGTGAGAGTGGGCCCCTGACTCAGGACGTGTAGGATGAGGCCCAGGTTACCATGACCACTTGGCGAGTTCTAGGCTTCAGGAGGGTTAGTGGCATCACAGATAATAGTGAAATCTGCAGATAATCTTCCAGGTTCCTTTGCCCTCTTCCCTCTCTCCCTCCCAGCCACCTCCTGTGGCTCTCTAGAAGTCTAGTGAGGGTTATTCCTCTCAGGCTGACAGCCAGCAAAGGGGCCTTGACCCTTTGAGAGAACATGGCTGGTAGGTACAATAGCTTGCAGCACCACGGAAGTCATCAGACCTCAGAAGGGCTTGGTAGGCTCACCAGGCACGTGGCGACTTGCACCATAGCATCCAGCTGTCCCTTGGGAGTATCCAGGCTTCCAGAAACCAGTTGCTTCGCCAGTTCCTTCTGAAACTGACCGGAGTCATCGGTCAGCTTCAGGATGTGCTGGAAGGTCATGTTCCTGATGAATCCGAAACCTGAGGAGGACAGGTGAGGCTGGGAGGCTGGGTCTAAGACAGGGAGGTGAGCCTGGGAGATACCTGGACACAACCTCAGTTTCCCTGCCTTATAGTAAAACAAGGGAGAGAACAGGATGGTGGATGTGTGCGTTTGAGTATGTATGTTGTGGGAGTTCCTGTGCATACATGTGAGCATTCAAAATCGTGTATACACCTGGACACAGTTTACATATGTGTGTTCCTATATGAATGTGAGCATGTACAGGTGTGAAAATAAATTATTCATCTGTGTCACTGTATGTATTTGAGAATATGTGTGCACATGTGGTCTAATACATGTGTCAGCCTGCGTGTGACTATGCACACACATACAAGTGCATGAATGTGAACACAGATGTCCAAGTGTGAGGGAGGACATCACTCTTCAGGGAAGAGAGTGCTGTTTGGGGGAAGCCAGGCCAGGTGGAGCTGTGCACGCATCACACATGCAAGCACCCAAGCCTTATTCTCTGAACCTGTTGGTGTTTGTGGAGCTCTGACCCTTGATCTCCGGCTCATTGTGATCACTGCCTTTACGCTACAATTGCTACTTTGTCAACCCAATCTGATGTTTACTCGTTTTTAGAAATTAGCACTTCTGTCTTTTGAGCTTACCCCAAGAGATGAGTGAGAGAGGAAAGAAGAACCAGTGGAGGGCTGAATCTTGTGGCCAGTGACTGGACATGGTGCGCTCCACTCACAGTGATGTTCTGAGAACTCCCCAGTGGCAGCTCTCAGGTCACTGCCTCTGGTGTGTGGGGGAGGGGTTGCCCAGGATACGGGAAATGCTGAGTCTGATCCCTGCAGTGGCTGTGGACCTCACCAATATGGCCTGATCTGGTGATCTCATTGAGGGCTTGGAGCAGGTCACTGCCCAGTGTCTGGACATTGGAAAGATGGTCTTGCGTGGAGTCAGAGATGGCCATCAAGACGTACAGGTCAACAGAGTTGTCCTGGGTCCTCTGGACGCTCACGTTGAATGCTGCCGCTTGCCCTGTGAAGGAGAAGGGTGTCGCTGCTGGGCTGTGTTGTCTTAGGACACTGGTACTGAGCAGGGGTTGCACATGAACTGTTCTCTCTAGTAGCACCTCGGTCCTCTCAGTTTCTTCCATCATTGCTGCCTGGGATGGCATCCTTGAAAAGGGACCGATAGCTATCTATACCTGGTGGTGCACACCTTTATCCTCAGCACTAAAGAGGCAGAGCAGAAAAATCTCTGTGAATTGGAAGTCAGTGTGGGCTACATAGTGTGGCCCTGCTTAAAAGTGAGAGGGCACCAAAATCTCTCCTGCTTCTTCTGCCATGTGGGGACACCAAACAGATGTCTGAAGTGGCTTCTGAGGAACCCATTTCTATTCTCCAGATCCATGAGCAGGATGTCTTGTGGGTGAGTTAATCAGCCTGTGGAGCCAGCCCACACAAGCCCTTTGCTTCTGCCCATGGCTCCATTTACCACTCTGGCTCCCTGGGGCCAGGCCTCATATCAACACTGGGGCCTGTGCTCCGAAACACTTGCTGTGGCCACAGTTGCATCATCTGTTGGGCAGACTGGTTGGTTTAAAGAGTTTCTCAGTTGCAGGGCTCATCAGTGCCCTTCTTCCCTCAAGAACACTTGGCCTTCTGAGATTGAACGCAACAGCATTTTCCAAATGTTTTGTTCTCCCTTCTTCACACCAAAGCAAAGCAGAACAAAAACATAGCACAGGGTTAAAAGGGAGACCAAGCATCCAGTGTAGACAACAGACAATGGAGGCTGGAAGAGATTTGCTTGCTTAGGGCTAGCGAGAGGCAGAGCTATGTATGGAGAACCTCAGCCTTTTAAGTTAAAATGCAATTATAATGAACATGGTGTGTAGTGTGTCTGTGTGTATGTCTACCCTTGAATCAATCCCTGAATTCAAGTGTGTCTCCTGCCTCAGTCTACTGAGAGTATTTGGGAGCTCAGGTGTCTGGAGAGTGGACCTCAGTCATGAGGTTCCCAGCAACCTTCAGGCCAACCTGGACACACACCCTGCAATGGCCAGTGTTAGCTGTCCACCTTACACAATCTAGAATCACCTGGGAGAAAGGCCTCAGGGCCAGCCTGTGCGTGACTGTCCTGAGTCTGTCAGTTGAGGCTGGAAGACCTGCCCACTGTGGGCGGCACCACTCCCTGGCTGGGATCCTGTGCTCTATGACTTGCACTTGCAGCGGCATGCATCCCTCACCCTCTGCGTCCTGACTGTGGATGTCCTGCGCTCAGCGGCTTCAAGCTCCCGCTGCTGTGGCGCCCCCACCTCGATGGGCTGTACCCCTGAACTGTGAGTCAAACCCTCTCCCATTTGAGCTGCCTCTGTCAGGAATCTCAACACTGTCAGGAGAAGAAACTGAACCACAGTCTACCTGTCCACAGTGACAGAGGGGATGCTGGCCAAACTCCTGTAAACACCATGTGCCCCATCCGCTCCAGGCAAGTTCTAGCCTACCTGGTCTTAAGTAAAGCGTCACATTTTGTGGGGACAGCTGCCTCTGGTCCCTGTCCTTGTCCTCCTGGGATTCAGCAAGGCTCTTGGGGTCCACGAGGTACTCAGATGTGCAGCCCCTTAACAACAGTTGCTCCGAGGTGTCACAGCGGAGAGACTCTGGCTGCCCTTGGCCTGTGAAGTTCTGGGGAAAGGGCCAGGTTAGTGTCACAAGGAAGATGACAGATCATAGGGACTAGAGATCCCAGCCTATCTCCTCTTCACTTGCCATTACAATTTGGCATAGAAATCTCTGTGGATGGGGACAGCCTACCAAGGAATAACTGGCCTTGAGACAACCTCGGTCTCCTTGAGGGCTTCAAATCAGGCAGCTGGAGACCCCTTTCTGCCCTTGAACTACTCCCTCTAGCACTGAGGACTTGAGTTCAAATCACGGCATCTACACACAAATAAATGCTGCATGTGCCTGTAACCCAGCATAAGCACTCTGGCCACCAGCTCGGCTCTAGGAATTGAGAAGGAATAGGCGGAGACTGGTGTCCTCTTCTGTACTCTACTTGTGTGCGTGAGTACATATACCTATATCACACACACATACACAGGCACATAGACACACATACAGAGACACAGAAATACACACACACACACATAGACACAAACGTACAGAGAGAGAAACACAGACAGACAGACACACACCCCACCCTCAATGTATTTTTAAAAAATGGGGAGAGTCATTCTGGGAGAATCCAGAATATCCAGAGGGGCCCCTGGGCAGGCTTGAGACACTAAAACATCTTTGAGCCAATGATAGTCACAGAATATTGAGCAAGATAGAGATGCATGTATGCATTGGGGGAGGGAAGAAAGGAAAGACAGACAGACAAGGCGGACAGTCATGGGGGAGGGTGGAGACCAGAGAGAGAGACACACACAGAGAGACAGAGAAATAGAGAGAGACAGAGAGAATGAATAGATGTTATACTCTGCCCATCAACCCATGGGTTTCTTACCAGCTTCTGGCACCAGGCGCAGCCAGGCCCTGACCTGATGCAGTCCTGACAGGAGTTCACTTTGTCCTTGGTACACCACTGAGTCAGGGCTGGGGAGAAAGTTGGGTGAGTAGGTTCTGCCCATCCCAGCTGCTCCAGAGTCAATAGGGGTGGGGAGGGAAGGAGCACAGGAGAGGTCAGGTCAGGACTGGAAGCCCCGTTTGGCTCTGTGAGTGGAGTGATGCCCACAGGGTGTGTCTGTTCTTTTCAGCACACCTCATAGGAGCTGACTTCATAGAACTCACCACATCCCAGGGAGAGCAGTCCAGTTAGGATGAGTAGCAGGGGGTGCCGGCCCAGCATGTCCTGTGGAGGGAAGGACCTGGTGAGTCAAGGCTGACCTCCTACAGAGCCTCTTCTGGATTGTCTGAAATGCAGGGCTGCTGAGGGTGGAGGGGATCTAGTCCCTGATACCTCAGGGTGTAAGAATCAGTCAGTCACCAATGTCACCAGGCTCAGGGAAGGAGGAAGTGGGGAGCCACAGGCCTATTGAAGTGGCTGGGGCACCAAGCGCAGAAGACAGGGCACTCACTGTAGGTGATATATACAGACATATGCAACACACACACACACACACACGCACACGCACGCGCACACACACATGCACACACGCATGCACATGCGCACACGCACACACACACATGCGCACACGCACACACACATATGCGCACACACACACGCGCGCACACACACACACGAACACACGCACGCACACGCACACACACGAACACACGCACGCACACACACGCGCACACACACACGCACCATGTGCTATATGTCAACACAGACACTGCACACCCACCACATGTTACAAATGCTATATGTGCTCCATGCTGCTGAGGCCGAGCCTTCAAAGATGGAACCTGGGCTGCAAGCTGAGACTCTGTTTGTCCTGGTAGTGCTGGGAGCTATTTATGTGTGGCTGTAGGCTGCTGCTTGTTCTCTATCACAGCCTTCAACCTGTCCTTAAGGTGTCTGAAAGTGGACAGTTTCAGGGTTGACTAGTTGTCTCTGGCCAGACTTAATTACTGAGTAGATCACACCAGCTCTGGGTGAATATCGCCTAACTTAGATTTGTTCTCTTGCCAAGGGTACCAACTGGACTCCCTCTTCCCCCCACAAAAACCAAACCAAACCAAACAAAACAAAACACCAGTGGCAGTGTGAAAACTCTTGTATCCTTTGATCAGGAAATTTGAACAGGATGGATATAGACCTCGGTGTACCCTACACTTTCCAGAGAACAGGAAGGGGCCCGGGTTACTGCAAGACTAACCCACAGATGCGGTGTCCCAATGACCTGGTGACAGGCAGCCTATCAGGGTGGCTGTGGTGCCAGCTCCCATCTCCCACATCGCTCCTTGCTTATGAGAATCCTGTGGTTATTACAAAGAATGGCCTGAGAGACTCATCTCGCAGGCTGGTGACAGGCAGGCACTCCAAACAACCCTGAAGGCAACCACACTAGGAAACCCAGGACCCACCAACTCACCAGAAAGTCTGCAGCAAAGCCAGCTTTCTCCCTGGGGAAATGATGGCACAACCCAGCACTCTCAGGAAGTGGTGAGGCTTACCACAGCCCCTGCTTTGGGCTTTGGTAAGTTTCCTTTCGTGGAGATTCTGTTGAGGACCAGGGTCCCCTCCCTTGGCACCAAACACAGGCATCAAATGGAGACCTTATTTTAGGTTAAATCAAGCTGCAAACACCTGGGACCCGAGGGATGCCTCGGGGGGAAAATGGATCCCATCTATGTAGCATGTTCCCATGAAAAGCAGATACCAGTGAGGGCAGGTGGCTGAGACCAGCAAGAAGAGGTGGGTGACTTCCTGTTGTGAAGTTCTCCCAGTTGCAGAACCCTCCACCCAGCCCTCGGAAGCCCCAGGCTCCCTGGGGGAGATACCTGTGTCAAGAGTTACGGGAGTGAGCAGGGGGGAATTGGCAGAGCCCCAGGGTGGGTTTGGAGGGAGAGCAAGCGGCAACCCATGGCCACCGTGTCTTAGGGAAAACAAAATTAAAGGCTTGTGATGATCACAGCCCGCTCAATAGTTTCCACGGAAGCCCAGTGCCAAGATGGAGTCACTTCTGTCTGTTCACTCACAAAAGACCCGGGGTAGGGGGGCAGATGAGAACCACGGCATCAAAACACTGTTCTGAGACCCAATGCTCCGGGTAGGGACAAGCTACTCCATCACCAGTATTCCCACTTTCTCCAGTAATCCTGTCTATGTCTTCCAGTTTTATATATAAATGTATATAGTGACATCTTTTAAGGATAAGGCTTTTTCTTTATGAGAATTTCATTATGTGTGCAATGTAACTTAATCACATCCACCTCCACTTCTCAGCCAACGCCCACATCTCCCTCCCAACTTTATGTCCTTCATTATTTAGTATTTACTTAATTTTTAAATTCATGTGTCCATGCTTATCTATCTATCTATCTATCTATCTATCTATCTATCATCTATCTATCTATTCCACATGTGTGTGGGTGCTCGAGGTAGCCAGAAGTGGGTGTCTGATCCCCTGGAGCTGGTATTACAGAAATTTTTTGTCTCATGTTTGCCTTGGAGACTGAACTGGGGTTGCTGGAAGAGCAGCAAGCATTCTTAACTGCTGTTAAGAGTTATTAAATAATTCTTAAATTATTAAATAATCATTAAAAAATAACAAATTATTTAAAATTAAAATAATTATTAAAAATTAAAATTAAATATTATTTTGAGCCTGCTGAGTTCAGCTTGTGCTTCTCACGTGCATGTGGCCTTGCTGTCATCTGTTGGATCAGGGCTCCCCCCAAAGAAGAATGACTCTCCCTCCCATGACAGCCATCAACTGCCAATAGTACCGGGCAGAGCCTTGGAAGCCCCTCCCCCTTTACACTGGAGTCTTTCATTGTCTTGATCCATGGCGGGTCTTAGAAGAGCTCTCAGTTCTGCAGTAGCTAACGCACTGCCCGAGACTGCAGATTCCACAACCCACTGGCTCTGTTGTTCTCACCACATACAATCCTGGAGTGGATTAGACCATGGCGGCGGCTGTGCTCCATCAATCACTGGATGGCTCTTGTTCACTCTTTCACCCACTCATCCCTCTAGCAAGTGCTTTTCGGCCCCTCCTGGTAAAAGACTAGATGTATCTAGTCTATCCTTAAAGATTACTGGATTCTGCCTCTACCGGTCCCTTCAGCGTCTGCATTGCCCCCACTTCTATTGAGTTTCCACTCCAAATGTTCCAGACACAATGGACGCCACTTAAAATCCAGCTGGGAAGAACTGCTTTCCTGGAGCTGACTGTATTCTCAGACTCTAGAGCACCATGAGAGCCCTGCCTAGGGCTGGGACAAAAGAACCCCATACCTGGAAGCTTCTATAACAGCAGCATCGTGCCTCTCAGGCTCAGGGGTCTCTGCATCTCATACCGGCCAGGTCTAAGCATCCCAGAACCCTGCCCCTAGCCCATGTCTACATCTCTTGCCCACAGGAAATGATAAGACCTATGCTACCAAGTTATGAGCAGGAGTGAGGCTATGGAAGGCCCACTGGGGTCAGGGCCCACCCAGGGTACTGGTCACTGATGCAGTAGAAACAGGGCTCCCCGTTTCCACGGTGTCTCCTCCGCCGGCTGGCCATCCGTTCCCACACAGCCTCAGTTTGCACAGCATCCCAGAGTCCTCAGCAGCTCTTCTCTCCACCCATGGCTCCCAGTCTGGTGCTGGCCTCCATGTCACAAGTGTGGAGTCACCGTTCCAGGAAAGGGGTTGGTGCTACGGCTTCCCCGCTGCTCTCATCATCCACCCCAGTCCTCTCCTGTCACGACTGCTGCCGCGGGCGCTATAGGAAGCAGAGGCCGTGCATGCTGTCCTTCCACTTATCAAAGGACAGCAGTGCAGGGACCCAGCCCTGCAGTCGGTGAGCTCTGGTGGTGATGGTGGCTGGGAAAGGGGCAGGCCACAGCGTTCAGATTCTAGAAGATCCGAGGGGAGCCCTGGGATCCAGAGCCATGACTTCAGCTGCCCCCTCGTCTGCCAGAGGCCTTGAGAACAGCTCTTATGAATGAACCTGACCATGGTGGAGAGGTTAGGGTTACCAGAACCAGAATCCCACACCAGTATTGTTCCCTTAAGCACAATGCTTACCAAGTGTGACATCTACCAGGCCAGGCCTTTTAAAGCCTGAGCACCAGGGATTCACATGACACCACTAAAGAAGACACACACACACACACACACACACACACACACAACATGGACACCTAAGCACACACTGTACACACATATATGTAATAGATACTCATACATGGGAATGTACCTGCATGCGATACATATCACACACACACACATGCACCACACAGACATAATTGTACATACATATATGCATGCATGTGCATACCAGCACACTTCACACAGACCTGTGCACATGTGCACAGACACATATATCACACAAACTAACCCACCCATCCCTCACACAGGTGAGTCTGAAAGTAGATTTATCAGGGCTAGAGGTGCGAAGAGAGTGGGACCAGCTGAGGCAGGAAGAGGCAGACACAACTGGGTCCTGCACGTAGCCCTGGGAACTTCCCCCAAGCTCCAGTCCTTCCTGGACCCTCCACTTCCAGCCTGGGGTTAGGAAGCCCTCCCTACAAGAGGATCATCCAGTCTCTGCTGGGTCTGGTAGCCACCATGTCTCTGGAGGCCCAGATAGTGTCTGGGATCCTAGAACCAAAGCAGGAGACCTGTGCGTCTGTGCTTGTTCTTCACCAGCCTGACCTCATGTTCTCAGCTCTGGATGTTCCTAGCCTTCTTCATGGTTCTTCCTGGAGGTTGCAAGGGGCCTTTCCTACTACAGGGCCTTGACCGGGTAGTCTTGGAACAGTTTTCTTTCAGACTCCCTGGACTGGGGTCATAGAAAGGCCACAGGATCCTTACCAGGGCTGGGGTCAGGTCTCCTGCTGCTTAGAGAAGATTAACACTGAGGTATCCCCTGTGAGAGCCACAGGGACAGTGCCCCCACTCACCACTTGGCTCCTTGGAGGCCTCGGCTCAGCTGGGGGTTCTTCAGCTCCTAATCAGCTTGTTCTGGGGACTTCTCTGGCAGACACGCCTTAGCTTGGTGCTTCCTCTTCTGACTTAGCTCCTGGGAGGAAGTGGTGTGATCTGTGGCTGATTGCCCTACACATGGGCCTTACTCAGTCCTCCGTGCCTTGTCACACACTCTCAGCAGCTACAAGGCAGGGGGGGACCTGGCAGTGATGAAGTGCTCTCACGGAGGGAAGTAGACCAGGGGAGGAAGGGGAGTTGCTTGGAACAGCTGTCTGGAGACACTGGAAGATTCCCCAGCATGCCAAGGATGGGTCGTGATCCAAGGGTCAGTGGGCAGGGGATGGTTCTGGCAGATTTGTGCTCCAGATGTGGGGAGGTATGGCTTAGGTCTGAGCACCAGGCACAGAGCTACAACTCAGGCAGGAAGCAGCACCGCACAACAGGTACCCTCCTTGCTCCCCACCTCCACCCTCCTCTGACATCAGATTGCAGTTTGGCCTTTTAATGTGGGTAAAAGACCAGCAACTTCCCAGGAATGCTCCAAGCCTTCAGGCCTGATTGGAACTGCTGGGCACCCAGTCTCACGGACTGAGCAGCTCCCGCCCTCTCAGGTTCTCCAGTGTGTAGATGGCGATCAAGCCCCCTCTGTGTAAACTGATCTAGTAAATTCCTTTTTATAGCACAGATTCACCCTTTGGTTATTTTCCTCTCCAGACCATGGCGGACACAGCAGAGTATATGGTGTCTTGGAGTACACTCTCAAACATCACTACATTTCTTGCTACCGAGGCATTGGTCCCAAAGAGTCAATAAACACAGTATTTAAGAGATCCCCAGAATTAAAACTGATGATCAGATCCAAAGGAGTCTGTTTCTTGCAGTTATAAAAATGATCTCAGTTTCCATTTTGTAACATATGTGCTTATAGATTTATGTGTTTCCTCTTTCTTGTTTCTAGATTTATATGAATTAACTCAGCCTGAATCCTTGAGCTTTGATTCTTATAAAACCATAAACAGTAACTTGGTTAAGTTTTTTCAAAACTTTTAATTTCCATGCTTCATGAAATGATGGACCAAAGCCCAAATCCTGATACGTTTCTGGAACTTTTATGCTAATATATTTCATTGTTGTTGCTGAATGTGCACGATCACATAGGAAATTTAATTTCTAAAATAAGGACACTAAAAGTAAGCCTTAAAAGGAAGTTGTCCACCTATCTATCATCTATTTGTCCATCTCTCACTATCATCTCTATCATCTATCTATCTATCTATCTATCTATCTATCTATCTATCTATCTATCTATGTGTCTATCTATCTATCATCTACCCATCTATCATACATCTACCTATCTATCCATCTATCTGTCTATCATCTACCCATCTATCATCTATTTACTATTTATTTATCTATCATCTATCTACTATCTATCTATCTATCTATCATCTATTTACTATCTATTTATCTATCTATCATCTATCTACCATCTATTAATCTAGTTATTTATCATCTATTTATCTACTATCTATCATCTATTATCATCTATCATCTATCTATCTATCTATCTATCTATCATCTATCTATCTATCTATCTATCTATCTATCTATCTATCTATCTATCTATAATCTATCTATTTTATATCCTTTCTTTGCTAACCCAGCCCTCCATGCACTCTGGACTTCTGTAGCTATGGTAATGGAGCCTGCTTTATACCTTTCTGCTAGTAAGGGTATTACAGGAAGAAGAGTGTGTGGTTCATTGCAGTTCTTTTCACATGGTTATAATGTTGGCTTCTGTTAGTCAGCTGTGCTATTTAGGGCTTCTTTCTTTCTTTTTGAGTAAACTTGACACAAGTTAGAGTCAGGGGGAAGAGGGAATCTCAGCTGAGACAACGCTCCCTTGGGAATGCCCACAGACAAGTTTGTGGAGGCATTTTCTTGATTAATGATTGACGTGGATGGGCCAACCCACTATGGCTGGTACCACCGGTAGGCAGGTGGTCCTGAGTGGCAAAAGAAAGGCTGAGCAAGCCCTAGGCTAAGCAGAGCTCCTCCATGGCCCCTATCTCCGTCCCTGCTTTCAGATTCCTGTCGTCTGTTCTCGCCCTGACTTTCCTCGGTGATGGAGTGTGACCTGAGAGTTGTGGGCTGAAACAAACCCTTTCCTCCCAAAGCTGCATTTGGCTGGTGTCTGATCACAGAAATAGAGAACAAAGTAGAATAAAAAATGGAACCAGGGAGTGGACTATTGCTGTGATATCCCTGCCTTGTTGTTTTGCAGATAATTCTGGAAATATTTGGAGTTTTGGGACTGGAAAATTCATTACCGCTCAAAGCTTAATGGGCTATTCTGTTGGAGGCTGGGCAGAAATGCTGCGAGCAGTCCAGACAGTGGAGGCCTGGGTGGTAATGCTCTGAGCAGTCCAGACAGTGGAGGCCTGGACAGTAATATTGTGAGCAGTCCAGACAGTGGAGGCCTGGACGGTAATATTGTGAGCAGTCCAGACAGTGGAGGCCTGGACGGTAAATATTGTGAGCAGTCCAGACAGTGGAGACCTGGCTCGGGAAGTGTATGAGAGAAGTTTGAGAGTTCCTTGAAGACTCTACAGAACCATTCATTTTATATTTCTAATTCAGAATGTGGTTTCTGGCCAGCTGGAGTCGGAGAATCAGCTGGGATTGAGAGGAGACCAGTATTATTTCAAGTGAAACCTTTGTTTGACTGGGACAGTGGATGTTGGTCACCTGGAGCTAATATTGGCGGTGATTAAGAAGGCATCAGTCTCGCTGTGTGAAATCTTCTCACGGGCATTTTCTTGGGGTCGGCACACAGAAGCTGTAGTCTGCAGAGGCCATGGCTGTGTCTTGAGCTGGCAGCAAGACTTGGTCATATGTAAGTCTCCCAGATGGCACTTGCTTTGACGGCGTGAAAGGGTCATTGAGAACAGTTGAGGCCGGGCACTGTGTGGCAGAGCTAGAGTCTCTCAGAGTGCCACTGCTTTACAAAGAGTGGGACCTGGGAGAGTGGAGCTGATCAATGAGAAGGAGTAGAGTCTCGTGCAATAGTCAACTTTATTCAGGAGTCAGACAGTTTATACTCTGAGGAGTAAGAAGGTCATATGACTATAGTTCTCATGAGTTCAAGCTGTCACAAGGACAAGCCACACATGGCAAAGCATACTTTTCCATAGATGCATATAAAGGCTGGACAAACATTTAACTGAATAACAGCAGCAAGCAATAACAAGTAAACGCCCTCTATCCCTGCCCCTGGCAGGAGCACGGAAGCTCATTATATGAACAGTTCTGAGTTTTGAAGAAGCTGAGGTCACAACATTCTTGTTTTCTTGGAGTGATCTCACAAGCACGCAGAATTCTCCTCACATGGCTGCATTCCTGGACCATGTTCTGACTCCTGAGGACAAGCCGGGTAAGAGAAAGATGGTAAAGATGAAGCCTCATTTGTGACGATGACCTCGGAGATTGGAGGTGCCAGGTCAGTGGGGTGACTGCCAAGAACAGCATCCATTGTGGGGTTGACCATCCTGAGCCTGCAATATGGGGTGTGTTTGCTGTGAATGGCAGAACCAAAGAGGGGATTATAAAAAACCTTCCCACTCATTGAGGATCTTGAGGAAGTACCAGATAGCAAATATGAAGCTATTTGTAACATTGGGTTCTGGTTTTGCTTCAGTTTGATCATAACTGTGTCCTGATGTTTCCCTACTAAAATAAGAAGTTTGCAACTTATTTTAATTTTGCTGGAGTTACAGTTGAGAGATATTGGATATTTTAAAGATAGTAAACTTTTAAAAGTGTTTGAAAATTTAAAAGTGTGGAATTTTCAAATTGACTATGTTTTATATTGTGGTATTAATGTGAGGTCTTGGAGAAATAAAAAATTATGGTTTAAAAATGATATATTTGTGTTTCAAGTTGACTAAAGGTCAATTATGATCTTTTTTTTTTGTCAACTTGACACAAGCTAGAGTCATCTGGGAAGAAGAAATCTCAGTGAGAAAATACTTCCACCAGATTGCCTGTAGGTATTGATTAATGATTGACATGTGAGGACCGAGCCCGTTGTGGTTGGTGCCGCCCCTAGTCGAGTGGTACTGGACTGTATACAAAAGCAAGCTGAGTGATCCTTGGTGTGCAATGCTACATTCCTCTGTGGTCTCTGCTTCGGTTCCTTTGCCATGTTTCTGTCTTTTCTTCCCTCAGCGATGGGATAATATTTGAAGAATATGATGAAACACCACCCCTCTACCCTAGTTGCTTTCAGTCAGTGTTTTGCCATAGCACTAGAAGCAAAATAAGTTATCAGCTTTGTCTTGCTATGATAAAAAACACTGGGGGGAAAACCAACTTAAATGAGACAAGATTTACTCTGGCTTGTGTTTTCAGAGGTTTTGGTCTGTGGTCGCCTGGTCTGTGGTGGGCAGAACCTGCTGGAAAGGTACAGTGTAGGAAATCTATTTGTCCTGTGATGTTTTACTTTTTGGCTTTTTGGGGGGCACACCACCAAGCTCCCAAATAAATCACACATGAAGGCTTATTCTTAGTTATTAATGCCTGGCTTGTTTCTTGACAGTTTTTCTTGAATTATCCTGACCACTTTTTGCCTCTGGGCTTTTTTTTTTTTATCTTTCTCTATTTCTGTCTACCTTTCTTTCCTTCTTCCTCCAGGGCTTGCCGTGTGGCTGGGTGGCTGGCCCCTAACGTCCTCCTCTCCTTGTTCTCTTCGCTGCCTCAGTTCTTTTATTTATACTCAGTCTGCCATTCCTGCCTATCCTGCTCCTGCCTCGCTATTGGCCATTTGTCTCTTTATTAGGACTATCAGGTGTTTTAGACAGGCACAGTAATACAGCTTCGTGGAGTTAAACAAATGCAGCGTAAACAAAAGCCACACATCTGAAAACTATATTCCCCTACACCACTTACCTCCTAGAGTGCTACTAAGGGGGGGGGGGGATGAGAGGGAGAGGGGGAAGGAAAGAGAGGGAGGGAGGGGGAAGGCTGCCAATGATGAGTTAGCCTACTCAGAGCCCATTCCTCTGAATTAGATCCCATTTCCCAAATTCCCACTGAC